TTACTGATCCTTTCCACGAAAATTGATATTGTTATGTTAGCTCCCTTAGAAATAATTATTGGGACACTGTAAAGAAAATAATTTTTAAAAAATTTATAATTGTAGAAAAAAAAATGTATATTCTTACCTAATAGTGGGTATTGCCTCCGTGCTTTGAAATTACTTCAGCCAAGCGTTTAGACATTAAATTAGCCAAATCCTGCAATGTTTTTCTTCGATTTTGGCCTATTCTTCAACAAAATCCTTCTTGAGCTGTGCCAAATTTTCAAACTGTCGTCCATTGCTGTATACTATATTTGAGAGTATACCCCACACATTCTAAATCGGGTTTAGGTCGGGACTACAAGCTGGCCACCCCAAAAGTTAAATTTTTTAATCCTCAAAAAACTGCTTTGACACTTTGTATACGTGGATGGCGGCGTTATCCTGTTGAAAAATTAACTTTTTCTCAAAATAAGTTTCGCCAAACGGTATCAAAACGTCGTCCATTAGTCTTATGACCATCTGAGAATTCATTCGTGTTAATAAAAAACATATAGAGGATCTTCCGGCGAATCCAAATGCGGCCCATACCATCAGTGACCCACCTCCGATATTGCGAGTATAGCAGGACTTGCGTTCACGGCGGATATCTCTCTAGGACATAATTTTTCCATCAGGGCCATTCAAGTTGAAAGGAAAAATGGTGGTCATAAGACTAATGGACGACGTTTTGATACCGTTTGGCGAAACTTATTTTGAGAAAAAGTTAATTTTTCAACAGGATAACGCCGCCATCCACGTATCCAAAGTGTCAAAGCAGTTTTTTGAGGATTAAAAAATTTAACTTTTGGGGTGGCCAGCTTGTAGTCCCGACCTAAACCCGATTTAGAATGTGTGGGGTATACTCTCAAATATAGTATACAGCAATGGACGACAGTTTGAAAATTTGGCACAGCTCAAGAAGGATTTTGTTGAAGAATAGGCCAAAATCGAAGAAAAACATTGCATGATTTGGCTAATTTAATGTCTAAACGCTTGGCTGAAGTAATTTCAAAGCACGGAGGCAATACCCACTATTAGGTAAGAATATACATTTTTTTTTCTACAATTATAAATTTTTTAAAAATTATTTTCTTTACAGTGTCCCAATAATTATTTCTAAGGGAGCTAACATAACAATACCAATTTTCGTGGAAAGGATCAGTAAAATAAAAAAGTTTTATCTGTTTTCAATGCATTTATTCTCTATACTTACAAATAAAAAAAAAACAAAAAAAAAATGAAAAATCATTTACAATTTTATTTAAAAAAAATAAAGTGTCCCAATATTTATTTCGACCAGGTAGAAGAATACGAGATCAGGAGAACAAATTTATAAAGGTAATGAAAAGGCGCGTGTAAGCATGGCGCAGTTACGTGAATCACAATCGAAAGATGCACGAGATGAACATAATCAACAAAGACCACTTTTCAAAGAAGAGAAGCGCACAGATTAATAGTCAGAAGAAGAATTAACTAACAACGGCAACAAGTTTATCGAGGATTCACATCTGGGCAATTTCTTCGACTAGCATTCCAGTAAGAGCCTGATGTTGAAAATTCTGCTTATTCCAAAGTGATTATTGTGAACATTCAAAGTGAAAGTTCCAAAGTGAACATTCCTTATTTCGCTTCTTCCTGCCGAGTTACGATTAAAAAAAATGGCAACGCATTGGCCATTGCATCTTCTGGCGTTGCAGCAACCTTATTTGATGGAGGCATAACAGCTCATTCAGCACTTAAGCTGTCATTGAACATTCAATATAATCCAGATGCAGTGTGTAACATAAAAACAATCGTCTATGGGCATAGTGCCCATATTTTGGATGAATGCACTATAGGACGTAAAAATTCGCTTGGGGAATTGGATTGGTCATTTAGGGATATAAGGAACAATGATAAACTATTTTACGGCCCTTTGTTACTCCTTTCAGGTGTTCACGGTTAACGTACGCTGTTGAATTCAATGCTTGCTTAAAATCATCGCAACTGTGGCGTAATGTTGAAAAAGAACTGACCAAGAATATGCGCGATCAAATGCTTCAGGATCCATCCTTTCTCTAAACAACTGTTAGATATTGGCGAGGGGAATTTTGTTGTACGTGAAAATACTGGATGTACTTGAAATACTGAAAAACATTTATTAACCAAAATAAATGAAGAAAAAACAGCTAGCCCTTATAGAAAACAAAAAAGGCCAAAACAACGTTTGCCGGGGTCGCTAGTTATTTATATTTATATGTTCTATTATATATGTATATATATATTTTTTTTTAAATCTTCTTTTATTTACAATATGTCTTTAGCAACAATAAGTACATTTTATGAGTAATATTAAGTTAACAGAAATAGCAGTTTTCCAATGAATCCAGCTTTTATATATAACATCTTTTCAGTTGGTTGTATTTACATATCTATCGGGGAGATCGAGTATGTGATATATTTTCAGCTTTCTTGTTGTTAAACTATTGTCTTCTAGATTTAAGGCTAAATTATTTTCGTGTTTATGGAGTCTATCGATGTATTTCATACTAATTTTATTAGTTTCTTTTTTTATTGTTGGGATATTAAGATCTTTGTGCATATTTGCATTAGATACTTAATAAGGAGCATTGACAATTTGTCGCAAAGTTTTTGATTGGTAACGCTGAAGTATCTCAATTTGTGAATTGCTAGCAGATCCCCAGAGATGTAGAAAATAGGTCCAGACAGGCTTCAGTATAGATTTGTAGAGTCGAATTTTGTTTTCCAAGGTGATTTCTGCTTTCCGACTTATCAACCAGGACATTTTAAGTGTTATAAGTCTCAGTTGCTGAAATTTGGTCTAATGTGGTTTTTCCATGTTAGTCTGCAAGCCCACATATTTGACACATGTATTTTGTGGAATTGGTGAGCCGTTAAGTGTTGGACATTTGGACAGTTTTTATTAAGGAGAACCTTAATAAAAAAGGTATTTGGACGGATTTTATGGAGTTAATTTTTTTTTCTATCGAAGAAACCAGTTATCAATTAGGCTTAGCTCACTCTGCAGGAATTCGGAAGCTTCAAAACGGCTGTACTATCCGCATATGTTGCAACAGTGCAGTTCTTTGTGACTGGCATGTCGGCCGTCTCAATACGCTTCCTTGTGGTACGCCTGCGTTAATGAGAATTGGTGTTCAAGTATCGCTTTTCTGCTGCACGTAAAAACATCGTTCAGTCAGATATGGTTAAATAATTACCATAAAACCTAAACTTTTATTAACAAGTTATACGGAGCAGGTAGATATATCTTTATTTTATATAATAAACCATTGTGCCAAACTCTATCAAACGCTTGTTGAACATCAACAAATGAAGCAGAGCAGTATTTTTTGTTTTAAAATGCCGAAACTATGTAATTAATGATCTTGTGACATTGCTCAGGGGTCCTGCGGCCTCTCCTGAATCCGAATTGGTATTCAGGAATGATGGAATGTTCGTCCAAAATTAGGAACATTCTCTTCAAGAGTATTTTTTCAAACACTTTCGAGAATTTTGGACGATGTCAATTCCGTTTCTATTTTGTTAGGCTTTAGGATCATAATGATCTCTGCACATTCCCATTGACTTGGAAAGTGGTCTAGTCTGAGAATTGCGTTAAATAAAAGACTGAGAAACCGAATGCATTATGATAGTAAACAATTTAAGGTGATACCGTCTATACCCGCTAAGAAAACCCACAATCATTGCATTAAATATTAAAACGATACGCCCACTCCCGCCCAAAAAAAATAAATCTCGTTGTAGCGCAAATTCATTAATATTTTTCGGAAATTTTTTAGTTCCAAACTATCTACACCCACTACACGGATCTGCCCATACGAGTTCAAGTTCCAAATCGGCTAGTTCTATCATTTATAGTCTTCGAGATCCACGCATTTAAAAATTTAATAACTTTTGTATAAGAGTTGGTATATAAAAGCCGGTCTGTTTGGATTTAAATTACCTATATAAACAGTTCGGTTTCGTGTTATACTCATGTACTTTACGAGTAACGGGTATATAAAGGGGTTTCGTAAAAAATGTTTTTTAAATTTATTCCGCATCGTAATGTCTCTTAGAATGTGTGTTTAAAAAAAAAATAAAGGAAAGTTCTTTTTAAGGGTGTATTCTAGTGTAGAAATACGCTAGAAACATTGTCAAATACTACAGTAAATAAAATTTCCCATATATACTGTAAAAGCTGAGCCGCCATGCCCCTTGGGCCCAAGCCTAATTCGGTTTTTTACACAGAGAGTACACGAATTTTATTTTCGTGGGCGACAGTACACGACAGATTAATTTTCGGTTGACAAATGAGCTTAAGTTGCTCTCCCCATTCAGCGTATGGACTGCAAACAAGGGGTTAAATAAAAATTTAATTGAATGAAAATGAAAAACATTTTCCCTAAAAATATATAACAATAATATAAATATTCGCTTATTCCGAACGGTCTGGACACTTATTTCAAATAAGTTTATCAAGTTTTTAAATTATTTATTTAAATTTATATAAATTATTTAAAAATAGTATTGATTTTGACCATACATTTTCTTTATTTTATTTTAAATAAATCCGAAGTCTTTTTATATTAATGTCCACTGCACTGATGAATAAAGTTTAGAATCGTTTTTGTTTAAATTTGTGAAGGTATTAACCACGGTGGCATGCTACCGCTATAATTTCTGTAAAATTCTTTAATTCAATTTGGTTTTTGCAATTTATTTTATAACAAACATATATTTAAAATGGTTTAATTCTAATCTTTTAAGGTTTTTATCAAAGTCAATAGTCAATAGACCTATATTTATGTATATATAATATTATACTGAACGTATTCATTCCTGTTAAAATGTACCAAATATTACCTTAGTTGCATTACCTTTAATTTCTATGAGTATTAATTCACGAAATATCTTTAAGTCTTTTGTTTTATCTAATATAATTTTAATAACGAAAGATTTTTGACCTTATTTAGGCATTTGCTTGGTTCAGCGACTTGCTAGTTGAACACGCGGAAATTTTTTGGTCCCTTTTCGCTGTTGATATGGATCGAGTTTTATCTGATCAGGCTCCTGATACGTGGGACTCATTTCCATTATTTCAAATTTTAAATGATTATCTAAGGGCTGATGGTAAGTTTTTTTAATATTGAATATTTTTAATATAGGAAATAAATAGGGACTCCTTTGGAGAAAGATGAATCATAGATGAAACAGTTAGAAGAAGCTAAGGCAAATGTTAAGTTATCGAGCGTTTTCCGTAACTGCAAAATAATGTTCCAAAATTCCTGTCCAAGTATAAGTCCGGTATTTTTTTATTTATGTTTATGTTATATCTATGCTAATGTAAGCTATTAGTTGCAAATGATCCAAAATAAGAAGAGACGAGAGCAAAGAATGCGAGGACGGCTCAACGCTTTACAGCAGAGGTCTGCATAGCCCTATTCCAGGGGCATTCCCTATTCCCAAAGCTATAAAATCGTTTAAAAATTACGCGTTTAGAGATTTTGAACCGCAATAAAGTTTCGAAAAACATCAGGCAGTATTCCTTCCGCCCGCCCATCTGGTCCCCTCGATTGCCTTGGCTGCAATCCTCCTTACCAGGAATATTGCAAATTGGAAATTGGAAAATTTGTTTTTGGATAAAGGGGGTGAGGGACGAAGGAAAGGAGGGACATCCATCGAAGTTACGATGGGGGTTACACCGCAATTGAACAATTGACAGCGAGGAAGACTAGGGTGGCTGAGTTGGTGAAGTTTTCCGGAAGGTTGGAGTACTGGCCCTTGTTCATGGCAACGTATGAACAGACGACGGAGCTATGCGGATTTACGGATGCCGAGAATCTGATGCGGCTTCGGCATGCGTTGCAATGTCCAGCCAAGAACGCAGTTAATAGTCAAATGCTGCATGCGGAATGTGTCCCGCAGATAATCGCCACGCTGATAATGCTTTGGGCGACTCGAAATTATTATTGGCTTGTGGGTGACAAGGATTAAATAATTTCCCCAAGTGACGGAGAATACGCTTGAAATGCTGGTTGACTTCTCGGTGGAGGTGCAAAATGTTTGCGCTACGATGAAAGCGCTCACGCAGGAGCTAGTGAGGAAGCTGCCATCGACGGTGCTTACGTTTTGGGGAATTGCCAAAGCCTCTCTAACAGTGTGTACTTTGGCAGAGCTTAGTTCGTGGCTACCGCAGATGGCAGTAGGAGCGAGCCATGTGATAGTTCCAAGCTCGTCGTCAAGAACGGAGAGAAGGGCACGGTACATACAAAACTTTGCGCCCTGCCCTGAGGAACTCTGCAGAATTTTTCTAGCATTCTTGGAAATGACGACCCGCGATCGCTGACGGAATGATGAATGAATGATACTCGACGGTGTGGCTTGAACTGGAGATGTTTCCAGCGGCACAAGGTGGAAAGATGCGGCGTCCCCAATCCTTGCCGCCTAGATGGCCGCCTAGAACGCCATCACCCCCTGTTGCATCGCGGCAACACGGATGACGTCCAAGACAGGTTCCATGCACAGCTGCAAGAGTGTGTGCAAATGCTATTCAGGGTATTGCCAATGACTTTGGTAGGCAAGTCAAAACGTATGCCTTCATCGACGACGGGTCATCTTTAACCTTGATCGATGCCCCATTGTCATTGCTAGTGGACTGCCGACATGCACTGATATGAGGAGACCTCGGTCAGACTAGACTTAAGGATCTCCGTCATTGGCCAAACGATGCTGTATGATCTTCGGGACGTTCACTCGGTCAAGTCTCACCAAGGCAGGCACAACAGAAGAACCGATCGCTGAGATGTGGGCGGGCGGCAGCCCTGGACCGGAGAAGAATAGCATAAACCTATCCAATGATGACCAGTTGGCTACACAGCAGCTGGAGAAGAATACGAGGCGTATCAATGGCCGATTTGAAATAGGTCTGCTTTGGAGGTATAAAGTAGACAAGGCGCGAACCAAAAAGAGGTTCTGTGATCGTGACATCATACAATTTTTTTGTTATAAATTTTTGGCAAAATCAAAATATAGGGCTTTTTATAAAATAATTTATATTTTTTGGAATGCTTTTAATTTCAATTTTTTTAAATTTATTATATTATTTGGTCAGTTGTAGTTATTGATGGAGGAAAGTGTGGCTTGTGTTAAAATCAAAATTGATGAGCGATAAAAAAAACTCAGGATCGGCCGACTACATCCTTTAGCTGTCATATAAATGAAGGATTGGAAATTACCAAACTTTCGCGTTTTTTAAGTAGAAGCTTGGTCCTTTTTTTAAATATTTTATTTTAATAAATTTGTTTAAAATTGAAGTTTAACTATTATACTAATCGGCCAACTACATTTGATATTTACCGATATTCCGATTTTAACTGCTACCCTATTGTTTTGTCTTATGTGAGCAGCGGAAATTGTATATTTTCATCACGTTATAAATTTTTTGACTCTGTCTATCTATTTTCATAAATTATATAAACGATATATTTAGTTATAACCTCAGCGGATTCGGTCGTCTTGCCCATCTCTTAGCCTTGCAATGTTATCGATATCGCGGTATGCATTGTACCCTCTTGAGCTTTGTGTATGTGGGCTCGTCCTTGTCACTCCCGACTTTGTTGTACCTGCGAATGAATCTCCGTCTCTATTTCGTTTCCCTAAACTGGGAAACTTTCCGGCTAACGAATTGGTAAGTCTTGGCAATTCAAAAGGAATAGCTCAAACTCAAAAGGAAATTAGCTTTCTTTTCTTTTTATACCCGGTACTCGTAGAGTACAAGAATTTTCTCTCCAATCGTCGTTTAATTAAGGTGGAAAAGCTGCAAAAGTGGTGATCTTACCTTTGGAAGTCCGCTTTTGAAGCAGTACGTTTCTTGGAAGTTTCCGAAAAGAATCATGATGCGTTGTATTTGTTGGAAAAACTATTGAATAACCGTCGCTTAATATTTCAGGCTCATGTAAACGAGATGCTGGGCCTTAGTCTGTTAAAAGGGGATCAAAAGCAGCTTTTCGATGATAAATTTAATGCCCATATGAGAACTTTGAAGAATTTGGGTACGTCAAATCAGATCGCCAGCTGCATCATTCTCCAGGTGCTTCTTCAAAGGTTGGACCCAGCTTCCCAGGCTAAGTGGGAGGAGAGTCAAAATTTCTCAAGTTTAGACGCCATCCCTACTTGGGAGTCAATGGCCGGAGCAGCGATGCAGGACGCTGAAGGCTGCGGACGTGGCCATGGCCGCATACGCCACGGGCGGCTCAAATAACAGTAGATTATCTTTTATTGTTACTAATTCGCCTCCCTCTGCCTGACCTATAGCCTCTTCGCCGTCGACTGCTAATGCACAAGTTGCTCAAGGTCGTCGGTCGTCAAGATCGGTGATATCGCTTTTCCTGAATACTCTACTCTGGTTAACGCTGCCATCGCTTCCAATATCATGGACCTCCAGCCTAGTTTCAGTTTGGATGTCTCCTATTAGAATTCCGGGCAATCTTTCTTTAGATGATCCAGAGCTTTTCCGTCCCCAGCACTTTAATCTTCTTTTCGGAGCCAGCCATTTCATAAACTGCTCAGAGTGTTGGGAAAATCCAGCTCTCAGCTGGCCTGCCGGAACTGCAGAAAACCCGACTTGAATGGGTTTTGTATGGGGCGGTTAACATATCTAGAGAAAGTTCCTCGTTTCCACTGCCCACAAGGATGTCCGAAGAGCACAACCATGCTGGATGATCGGTAAGATTGTCTGCTCCGTCGTTTTTGGTAATCGAAGACTTCTGCGAGCTTATTTCAAAGCGGACGATAGAGGAATTACATTGCGGTGCGCATTTCGTGCAACATGTTGCAACATTGGAGATATTTGCAAAATATATCGTTGCGTCAGGGTTTTTCTTGAGGACAGCTATCTGTATTGCATTCTTTGGCAGGATTCCACCCAGGATGAGTTGCAGGTTTTTAAGCTGGATACTGTCAGCTATGGAACGAAGATTCCACCCAGGATGAGTTGCAGGTTTTTAAGCTGGATAATGTCAGCTATGGAACGAAGCCTGCCTCATTTTTATCAGTTCGGACCTTGGATCAGTTGGCAGAGGATGAGCAATTAATGTTCTGAAAAGGTGACAAACTTCTGCCTCGCGACTTTTATGTGGATGATCTACTTTCCGGAGTGGACTCTATAGATAAAGCTATTAGCAAATTGTTAAGTTAAGGAAGTGGTGGAAGCATAGTTAAGAAAGTGGTGCTCAAACTATGCTGACGTATAAGGTGGCTGAGGAAGAACGGGAGTCTTTCTTTAGGTTCAATGATGGCAGCAATTTCAAAAACACTCTGGGTCAAGCTTGGGATCTGAGTCACTGCAACTGAGTCAAGCTCAAAGCCCACTAGGCGTATCGTTCTGTCTTCATTCGCCCAGCTGTATGACCCATTAGGCTTTGTCCCATAGGCTGTTATTACAAAGGCAAAGATCTTTCTCCAGAAGCTATGCCGTGAGGAGTTGTACTGGGATTAAAGTCTCCTTAAGTCATCGCGAAGCTAAAGCTCTCGATAATGGAGAGGGCGGCCCGACTTAGACATTGCGGAGCTAAAACTCTTTAAAGAAAGGCCCGTTGAGTCGAAGGACGCCAAAGTTGGAATCGGGGCTCCGACGAACAAAATAAGCATTCCTTCCTTTTTTTTATTCTTGTTTTGGGGTCACAGACCATGTATTTTGTATTATAATTTTTATACCCGGTACTCGTGGAGTATATTGTATATTTGTGAATATATGTAACATAGAGAAGGAATTATCTCCGACACAATAAAGTATATATTTTTTTTATCAGCATCAACAGCCAAGTCAATATAGTCGTGTCCGTCTGTCCGTATGAACGCGTGGGTCTCAGAAACTATCAGAACCACAAAGTTCATGTTTGTTTTAAATTTTTGCCAACCTCCTTAAGCCCCAACAAAATTTGAATTTCTGTAGCGCCAGTATTTGTTCAGTTTATTTATATCTTAAAAATAATTTTAAGCAAAAGCAGCTGAATTTTAGAGGTCATATAGACAAATGTATATATACCAATTCCAGTACAAAGGTGTGAAAATTTGTTTTTGGGAATGATTGGTTTTTGGTAAACTTTTTAATGTCGAACTATTGATGAAAATCCATAAAACTAGGGTAAATTTTACCACTTATTCTGACCAATATTAATGTCTTAGAAACGAAGCAAGATATTTCAATTCGTTTTGTTTAATGTATTATAAAGCCATAGTCTTCTTTTGGAAAAGTAGGCGTATTATTTTTATACCCTAAGGGTATTACCCTTTTTTGTAATTTATCATATAGCTGTCATATAACTGATTGATAGGAAATGGTAGAACTTTGGGGTTTTTAGAGTAAGAGAGTTTAAATTTTACAAAAAAGATATTTTGGCAAAATAATACGAAATGCCACATTTTATAAGGATCTGCCGACTAAATCCTATAGCTGCCATATAACTGAACAATCGGAAATGTCACAACTTTCGTATTTTTAAAGATGTAAACTTGGAACTTTGTACAGATTCTAGAGAGCTATTTTTGGCATAATAATACGACAATATAATCGGCTTAAAACTGATTGATCGGGAATGCTATTACTTTGGTGTTTTAATAGTTAGAATGTTCAGATTTTGTAAGATTGCTATTTTTGGCAAAATAATACAACATGCCAAATTTTGTATGGATCGGCTGACTATATCTTATAGCTGCCATATTACTGAAAGATCGGAAATGGTATTTGGTAAGAACACTTTGTTGTTTTTGAAGATAGAAGTTTGGGACTTTTTTTTAGATTTTGTTTAGTAATGAATTATTATATTATGATATTCTCATACGGATCGGCCAACTATATCCGATTTTTGCGATATATATCCGGTTTTAACTTCATGGGTATATCAACATCGGCTCCGTCCAAAGTTAGCTTTCCTTTCCTTTCTCTCTTACTCTAAAAGCACCAAAGTTATACCATTATACCGTTATACACTGCGTGCAAAGGAAAGAAGGGTGTGTGCAAAGTTTCAAGACGATAGCTTTAAAATTGAGAGACTAGTTCGCGTAGAAACAGACAGACGGACATGCTCATATCAACTCCGGAGGTAATCCTGATCAAGAATATATATACTTTATAGGGTCGGAGATGTCTCCTTCATTGCGTTGCACATTTTTGGACAAAATTATAATACCCTCTTGAAGGTTATAATAAACTAATCTCTACCTTGTATTTAGACATTTTTATCGAAATCTTACAAAGTAAAATATTACAATTTTATAAAAATTAATCAAAAAAGCTTGATTATTGTCAACCCAAATGGGTAAAAAAAAATAATTTGCAGTTAGGTTTGGATGGTGAGCTTTAACACCATCGTGAAAGGGGAAGCATAATTTGTTTACTCTGTTGAGTTACGTCTTCAAAAAAACTTAGTTCATTTTAAGGGGACCCCCCCCATTCTCGGTTTTAAAAAATCGATATTTTTTTTTTAATTTAATTCGAACTTGTAACTATTCAAGAATGTTCCCTGAAAATTTCAAGTAAAAATTTCAAAAACTCTTGAAGATATAGCCGATTTATGGTGGAAGCCTCAGGCGACGGCGAGAGCCGTCTCAAAACTTTAAACGCGTTTTTCTCGAAACAGTGTTTTTACGACTGGCGCATGAGGTTACTCAAAAACTATTAATCCAATCGGTTCCAAATTTTAACAAGTTATTCTATACATATATAGCTCTCGTATGAACTAGGATAAATCAAATCGGTGAAGATCTTCTTTACTTTTCAACTCGATTTATGGCTGAAAATAATGGAAATTTTCAAAAAAAAATTTCAAAGGTCCGCCATTTTGTTAATTTTTGAGCGAAGGTAATAATCCTAGTTCATACGAGAGCCAAACATGTACTCTTTCTAATCCCGTTGGAATTTTTGGATTCCGATGTTCCAGTGAGCGGAAATCACATGCGCCGCCGAAAAGAAGGGCTTTTCTTTGATCACAAAAAACAACAACAAAAACAAAACAAAAAAAATTCTGTGAAATGATTTTCTTCTTTTTTGTGTCTTAATATATGTAAGCACAGTTACAACCCTAAAAAATAATTTATGTTCATTTGCCAGCCCATTGAAAATCGTCAAAATTTAAAATCGAGAATGGGGGGGGTCCCCTTAAAGCCATTAAAAATCGATATGGTATTAAAAAAGGTCAAAAAGAAAATCCATAAAATGTCACAATTTTAAATTTTTTAGCGTTTTACACTTTTAAACACAATTAAAATGCAAGGGTATAAAAACATTAACTGTCATTTACCTGCCAGTTGTTTCATTTAATTTTATCTTGCCAAGCATCCGCCCGAAAATCTGGCCGGCAATAATTTATTTGACCCCAGAAATACCCGTGATGTCACTGGGTTTCCCCGCCTTTTGGTTACCGCTGTTATCTCTCTCCGTCCTCTTGTGATCGCTTTTAATGTCTCTATCGCATCGCCCTGCCGTCATGACGTCTCGTTCTCTCGCAGTGTATTTCGATCGCTCCGCATCAAGCGTTGAGCCGCTTTACCTCGTCAAACGGTCTTCAACTCCTTAGACTATCATTTCCATATATGGCCCAAATCATTTTTTATTAAATGCCATATGGGAAAAAGGGGATTCTGAGAATTATTTGCAACTAAAAAGTTTAAAAGAAAAACTTGTCTGTTTTGGAAATTTTATAGATCTTACGACTTTGTTCGTTCTTTAAAACTAAATACAATAGAAAAAATACAGTAACGTTCAAATGTAAGGGTATATATGAAGATTATCATAGGGTAGAAAGTTGGAATAACAATAAGGTAAAGTTAGGAACAAATAATTGTTATAAATTACCATAATTTGAATTTTTTATTTTAGATAATTTGCGTAATGGACGTTTTCATCAACACCTTCGGGATACTTTTGCACCTTTGGTTGTACGGTATGTCGATCTCATGGAATCTTCAATAGCTCAATCGATTCATAAAGGATTTGAAAAAGAACGCTGGGAGAGCAAAGGGTAAATACATATATATATATTTTTATACAAATTTATTTTTAAGCCTTAAAAAAATGAGCTCATTGTTAAACGATGTTTTAATGATTGGATAAGAATTTCCAAAATTATATAAAACAAAAAAAAAAGGTTGCATAGGAAAAAATTTGTTAGAAAGGCAATTGGTATTGTCGATAAACATATACTAAATTTTTTTTTATTAAAAGCGCTCATTCTCTTTTATCAAAATGATTTATTTTCTGCATTTACGCAGTCATTGTGTTACAAATATGTTTTTTTCCATAAAAATTTAGGATTAACGCTGCTCTGAATCCAGCAGCATTAAACAATGCTGCACAAGCCCTTAACACAGCGGCTCTCAACCCATCAACGCTACTCAGCAGCAAGAAAGATCAAGTCAATTTTTATGTTCCGAGATTACCAAGGCAATCAGTTTCGACAGTGGCCAACGATGATATGAGGTTTTTAAAATTATATGTACAATAAGATTTATCGAATGTCGTTGCATTTGGTTTTGCCTTTTATGTTCCGCCAATTCCATGCATAGCCAAAAAATCTGCAATTTGCATTCTTCTGCATTTGCATCTCACAACTTACCAATTTTCGCCAAAGCATATATAATATAGCCGAATTATAAATTACTAGAAAATTAATAATTTTAAAATAAAGGACATTTCACACAATCTATTTAGATTAGATTCTAATTTTATTCATTCGTTAGTTATTTTTACAAAATATACTTGCAGGCTCTTGTTTTGACTTTCACGACGTGAAACACTGATTCACCGGGAATGCAACCAAGTTTTACACCTTTTATAATTTCGAAAAAACTTCTAACAGAATTGTTACATTCATACACCTTTGATTCCCCCTTTCAACCTATGTTACCGCCTAACTTGACTCTCATATACAGCATTTTACTTAAATTCAAAAAAGACATCACATTTCTTTATCGTTAGGGTTTTATTACCCCAACAATTTTACCAACCTGTAAAATTGAACACACAAGAGCAAAACAAAAATCGAATTACCAGGCTACTTTTTCAAGACTCAAAATTAAGGTGTTTTCGGGAAAATGTTTTTTAAAATAAATACAAGCTTAATGGGCAGAAGAATGATGCCCTTTAAATGTCAATATTTTAATGCGTAATCAACTTTTTTTTATATTTCAAGTAAAAGTTCGATTAAGGTAGAAAAAGTCGTTACTTTTCAATTCACTTAGACGAGAGCAGCTACTATATTTTGTAAAGTTAAGGGAAATATGAAGGTGAGAAATAAAGAACTTTAATTTTACGATTTGTCAAAAAAAAGGCTTTCACTTCCAAAGTAAACGAAGCCTACCTAAAAAATTCAGAATTTGTTTCCACTTTTTTATTTTTCTATAATATGCCCGACCAATAATTCTGTATTCTGTTAGGTTATGAAGATTTCTATTAAACAAGGAAGGAAAGCTTACTTCGGGCGGAGCCAAAGTTGATATACCCTTGCTGTTAAAACCAAATATATATCGGAAAAATTCGGATATAGTTGGCCGATCATTAGAAGAATATTATAATACAACCAATTCATTACAATATAAAATCTAAACAAGAAAGGAAAGCTAACTTCGGGCGAAGTCGATGTTTATATACCCTTGCAGTTAAAACCGGATATATATCGTAAACATCGGATATAGTTGGCCGATCCTTATGGGAATATGAATATATAATCCAATTTATTACAATACAAAATCTAAAAAAAGTCTCAAACTTCTATCTTCAAAAATACCAAAGTTGGTATATCTACCAAAAACCATTTCCGATCGTTCAGTTATATGGCAGCTATAAGGTATAGTCGGCCGATCGTTATGAAATTTGGCATGTCGTATTATTTTGCCTATTATTATGATTAAAATTATTTATTATAATTATTATATTATTATAAATATTTTTTTTTAATTATTATTATTTGCGTATTATTATAAAAATAGCGCTCATATAAAATTTGAGCTCTCTAAATCTAAAAACACCAAAGTTATACCATTTCGGATCAATCATTTATATGGCAGCTATAGGATATAGTCGGCCGATCCCGGTTCCGACTTATATACTGCGTGCAAAGGAAATAAGGGTGTGTGCAAAGTTTCAAGTCGATAGCTTTAAAACTGAGAGATTAATTCGCGTAGAAACAGAAAGACGGACGGACAGACAGACGGACAGACAGACGGACAGACGGACATGCTCATATCAACTCAGGAGGTGATCCTGATCAAGAATATATATACTTTATAGGGTCAGAGATGTCTCTTTCACTGCGTTGCACACTTTTGACCAAAATTATAATCCCCTCTGCAAGGGTATAAAAAAAGTCCCAAACTTCTATCTTGAAAAAAAAAACCAAAGTTGGAATTTTTAACAAATAACAAAACCCATTTCCGATCGTTCAGTTATATAGTTTTATAGTTATCGATCGTTTTATAGTTAGCAGCTAACGGATCCTAATGAATTTGGTGGGTACTATTATTTTTGTATTATTTTGCCAAAAATCATGCAAAATCTGAACTCTCTAACTCTAAAAACACCAATTTGTACCATTTCCGATCAATCAGTTATAAGTCGGTCGATAGTTTCAGACTGTTTCAGAAAGTTTTAGAAAGTTTTAGATGGACAGACGGACATGTTTATATCAACCCAGGAGGTGATCCTGATCAAAAAAATATATAATACCTTCTGTAAGGGTATAAAAGGAAAGGAAAGCTAACTTTGGGCGGAGCCGAAGTTTATATGCAGTTAAGATTAGATCAGAGGTCGGCACGGCCCTATCTCGGGGCATAGGAAATTTCTCTGCCCGAGCTCTGCCACACACACACAGTATACATGTGTGAAACGTCATGCTCACAGCCTACTTTCTGCTATTCGTTACTAACACTAATGCGGTAAAATCATATCAATGTATTGGGGTGCCGACCACTTTATTAGATATATATCGCAAACAGGGCCGTTGCTAGCATGGGGCAGGTGGGGCGGTGCCCCAGGGCCCCCGAAGGGAAGGGGCCCCGCCGGGGCAAAAGACTTCCGTATAGGGGGCCCCAAATTTACTTGTTGCCCCAGGGCCTCCGAGGCTCTAGCTACGGCCCTGATCGCAAATATCGCAAATATATTGATAGTCGATCCTTACAAAACTGGTTTAATCGGATAATTGGACAAAAATAGAATCTGTAGGAACGTCCAATCTCAACTGTTTAGATCTAAAAACTGCAATAGACAGACAATATGACCTGTCTATACGATTACGATACAATCTCTTATAACGATCGCTTAGTTATAAAGAAGCTATAGAATACAGTCGGATGATCCCGGTCCATTCTTACATACTTACGAGCCCAAAGAAGAAATGGATGTGTGCGTTCGAAGTCGATAGATTTAAAACTGAGGGACTAGTTTGCGTAGAAACACACAAACAGACAGACAAATGTATATGCTTATATCGACTCAGGAAGGGAACCCGATATATAGTGATCCAAGAATATATTTGCTTTAGAATATATAAAATGTATTTTGGAATTTTTTTATACGGTCTCTTAAAATATGCATGCGGTCTTTTTAAATATGAAATCCCAAGTATTTTACATGTATTTTGGCATCTCGCTCGTAGAACTTACATAAATCTTCAATACCTTATCAAGCGTCATGTAATATTATCTGTTATAATAATATAATATAATTATATAATACAATTAATAATGTACTATAATTATAATAATTATAATATTATTATCTATCGACAGCCAAATAGCAGCAATAGCTGACCCAGCTACATGCATATTAAGTAACCACACTTATATATAACGCAATATATAAACGGAATTTTTTCGCAAAAAAACAAAAACTAAGAGCCTGAAACTGGTTTTCTATGTGACCCTTTAGTGAGTGCGACAATAGATCGATGTAGTTTATTATTTCTTTCCGTGGGTAGGATGTCTTCAGTACTTAAAAATTCAGAAAAGGTCCGCAAAATCTTTCTTATTAAATATTTGTATTATAGAATCTATTTTCAATAAAAATTTTGTTTTAATTTATGTTATTTTTTCCTTCGATTTTAAAGTATTATTTAAAATTTAATTATTACTTTAAGGTTTCATAATTTGGGATAAGGATAATTCAAGCTTTCAGATTCAATATCTTGTAAGGGTAGTGACATTATTATACTTTTTTACCCATCCCATCCACTTCCCTGCGTTGTCACCTTACTTTGGGGAGTATTATTTTCCCGGGTTTTACTTTGAAGTGCACTCTTTTTATTTGCGTCTTTTCTCTTCAGATCTTGAAATGCAAAAGAACATTTATATCCGGCGCATCTTAAAATGACAGTGAAAGAGGTTGCCCTACTTCATTTGAGAGGCGATCGAAGTGCCAAAAAGTTCAAAGTTCGCGCTTAACAGCTCTTACTTGGATAACAGTGGAGCTGCTATCGAATTATTTTATCGACTTAATATTGGTTGAAATAACTTAAATTTATTTTCAAAATTTTGTTTTGTCCGACGTTAAGTCGTACCCTTACAAGAGAAAAGTCTAAAAGACTTTAAAGACGGATGAGCGGCGTCGGGTTTATCAGCAGTGTCTATTTAGTTTTGTTTCTCCCAGTCTCGCATGCGCTTTGCTGGTATTAGAGCGTATGCACTTTTGGGAGCTTTCATAAAACTGCTGCAAACTAGCCCCTCTTGTGTTTGCCTGGTCTTCCCAGCCTTGCTTCTTGCTCACGTTACAATATTCAACTGCATAGCTTGGAGCTTGTCTTTTTAATATACGCTTACTTGATTTGATTTGGGCCGCTGCAGAGTTTAGGCTGAATTTGAACCTCTAATAAATATTAAAAATTTAGCTACAACGTTTTTATTTGTTCGGCCGCTATTAAAAACTATTATTTGCATAACCTTTTGGCGACGTGAGTGCATTCCCGTTTGTGATTGGTTTAAAAGTGACACGGGAACTTGTTGTTTTTCTTGTCATAACCTTGCACATAAATTACATAATGGATCTACTGGATCTGATGCTTCAGGGAAGAGATGCTGCCGAGTTAGGCAGAGGTAACCTGTCAAGAACTGAAGATCCTGCATCAGAAGGTCAAGGCTGCGACACGGACCGAAGACTTAACCATTATGACCCTTAACTCAATGGAGAAGCGTCTGAATGACTATGAGCTAAACCATAGCGAAATTGGAAGTGGTTTGTATAGGAAATTCCTTTAGCTGGCCACGGACCTGCACGTCCACATTCAGGTGGAAGTTGCCAAGCGCACCATGAGAGTTGCTGCCCACCCCACTCTTTTGGATGGTACCAGTGGTGCTGGTATTTCACTCGCACTCCATACAGTATTTCACAGCACTCCATACAAGCCTGCTCCCTTCTTGCCCCCGTTGCCGATGCCAATATTTACCGGAGACTGATCCGAGCGGTGACTGATCTGATTTTTGCACCCTGTT